AGCGACTCTATGTACAACTGAACGGAATATGTGCCTGGTTCTGTTCTATCCTTAATATTGTTGCTACACTTTAGCCCATTGCTGCGGTCACAGTGTCACTTCATGCTTTTCACGGACCCTTTCTTTACCAAACATGATGTTCTTCTCTAGGAGCTGGTCCCTCCTCGTAATATGCCCAAAGTATGAGAGAGAAAGTTTGGTCATCTTTGCGTCTAAGGAACATTCTGGTTGTACTTCTTCCAACACAGATTTGTTCTTTTGGAAGTCCAGGGTACCTTTAATAGTCTCTTCCAACACCATCACTCACATGCATCAATTCTTCTAGGGTCTTCCTTATTTTTCACGTGCATATGAGGCTGTTGGAAATACTGTGAGTTGGATTTGGCACACGTTAGTCCTTAAACTGTAATCTTGACACTTGAGTACCTTAAAGAGGTTTGCTTCCCTTTTACTGGGTGCCCTGCTCTGCTCTGTGGATCACCTCTTCCCCCATTCTGCTTCAATTGCCTCTAGTCTCAAGGCTTCTGCCGATTGAGCTTCACCCGTTTCCCCTGCTGCCATGATGCTTTGGAGCATCTTGGCACTGGCTCTGCCCCTGGACCTTCAAATAGGCACCTTCTGTGTTACCAGTTTAGTGCTAAAGTCCTCTTATTGAACCAGGTTACAACTCTTTTTTCGGGGGGTGGGGATCTAGTTGATTATCAGCACATGGACCCCAGGTCCAAAGGACATGCTCCTGTTCAGGTTTGTGTTGATCAGGAACCCTGCCCCCATACCCTCTTGGAGACTGGGTATTTATCAAGGAAAATGCCTTGTTAATTCAAGGTTTGTCTCCCCTAGCAGGATGTAAACTGAACAATCCCTTACCAGACAGTAAGCCTACTGGTCTGATTGCAAGCTACTTAAGCAGATAGCAAGTTGACCAATCCCTGCAAGCCTCTTAAGTAGCTAGCATGTTGACCAATCCCTGCAAGCCTCTTAGGGTAATAGCAAGTTGACCAATCCCTGCAAGCCTCTTAGGTAGATAGCAAGTTGACCAATCCCTGCAAGAGTCTTAGGTCGATAACAAACTGATCAGTCCTTACAAGTCACTGGGGTAGATCGCAAACAGACTGATCATTTCACAGATTGTGGTCTGACCAATAATTTTGGGAGAATTGCAAATCCAAGGTCAGAAAGGAAGGCCACATAAGAGAAACCCTTTGCACCATAAATCCCATTCCCAACCCATGCCAGAGCCACAGAATTTTAGTAAGTCTTTGGGATCTTACTAATTTCTATCTCTGGGGATCCTGACTTACTCTTCTAACTTTTTCAATTAGCAGCAAACATAAATGGCTGGTGACTATAATGGCGTAAGTTACGTGAGTTTCTGTAGGTTTTGAGCGTTAGGGGAATTTGTTGCATATTTTTAATCGGCTAACTTTCTCATAAGGTTAATATTGACTTCAGAGTTCTAAGGTACATATAAGGAGCTCTGGTAGCTTAGTGGTTACGAATCAGGCTGCAAACCACAAGGTCAGCAGTTCGAAACTACCAGCAGTTCCGCGGGAGAAAGATGAGGCTTTCTGCTCCCGTAAAGATTTACAGCCTCAGAAACCCTGTGCAGGGTCACTATGAGTCGGAACCGACTGTAAGGCACATAACAACAACAACAACAACAAGGTACATATAGAACACTTAATGGATTTGGAATAAAGGATTCAGAGACCATGTTGTTATGTACCGTGGAGTTGGTTCCGACTCATAGTGAGCCTAAACAGGGTTTCCGAGGCTGTAAATCTTTACGGGAGCAGACCACCTCATCTTTCTCCCGCGGATCCGCTGGTAGTTTCGAACTGCTGACCTTGAGGTTCACAGCCCAATTCGTAACCACTACGCTACCAGAGCTCCTTTCAGAGAGACCATAGTGCTCACCATTACTCCATGGAGCCAGCAGAACAGAATTTGGAGTTCCTCTATTGTTTCTGACCTTGAGATTAGCAGCCTGACGCATACCTGCTACACTGCCACCACCCTTACTGTGTCTAATGGCTGCAAAGAACCCCAACCCAACTCTAACTCAGCGAAGCTAATAGGGGATTTAACTGGCTCATTTGATTGAAAAGTCTAACAGAAGGACTGTCTTCCAACAGTGTGGTCAAGAAAATGTCCCTCTCATGTGCTCCACTAAGTGTGGCTGGGTTCTGGACTCCTCCTTGCAGTGCTCTTTTTCTTGTGGCAAAACCTAATCCATGTTCTTAAAACTCTAGCCATGGCTATGAGAAGGGAGCTCTTTCTCTCCCATGAGATACCACAGAAATCTAGTGGTTGAATTCATTCTTCTGGCTTAGGGTATGACCATCCATCAGCCAATCAGTGTAGCCAGCAAAGAGGTCGACACTGATTGGTCAGACCTGGCATTATGTCTCCACCCCCTGGAGCCAATTGGTGAATCATACAGGTTTGGTTCACAGGAATCAAGACTGCAGAAGGGTGGTTGCCCCTAAGAAGAAAACAGACTAGTATCATCGTAGGAAGAGGAGAGTGGAAGTTGAGCACACTGTAACTGCAGCTACCCTCTACCCTCTACCCCACTGATTTTCACTGTGCTGGTCAGTGGGGAAATGTCATGGCCAGCGGTATCTGGATTTCACCTCCTGAGCAGCCCTCAGTCCCCATGTCTGCTTTTATTTACAGCATTAGCACACCTCTCTCTTCTTTCCTGTCATCCTGATACCTCGGTCTTTCCCCCAGAGGTTGGAGTCAATGGCCTTCTCTGAGCCACAATCAATGGCGTTCTGTAAGGTGTGACTGAAGAGGCCATCTGGGTCTTGTTCCACATCCACTTTTCCCTGCCCAAGGAAGAGATGTGTGCAAGCCAGAAGGTCGCAGCTCCAGTAAGGACTGAGCTCTCAGAAGCCTCACCCTCACACTTGGGTCTGCAGCATGCGGACGCCACAAGAGTCAAGTCACACCTGGCAAAATTACCCCCTTCCCTTTGCAAAATTTCCCATCAGCATTGGATTGCAGAATAATAATTACAATGAAAATGATTCCTGAATAAAATTAGAAGTTTGAGTGTTCTCCACAGTATTTCCCAAATGTTGGATAGATTTTTTTTTTTAAGATGCTAGCACTGAGATCTCAGGCCCATTTAAATTTTTATTGAAACAAATAAACCCAATAAAAACACTTATGCTGAGAGCTGTAGCAGTGCAGTAAAAGAATCACCCTGTATTGAATTTATTGATTTATTTATTTACTCCGACTGGAAAATCGAGTATTGTGTTAATGTATTTTTATAAGAATCACACTGCTAGATGAAATGGCTAATTTATTTTAGCATATACATAAATAGCTAGCAATTTTCCATGAGACAGGCTAATGAAAATGATGCCATGAAATTGTCTATACTGTGAGGAGTGACGGAGGCGAGTTATTATTGGGTGAGTGCTAAGACACACTGAACTGGTCATCATATCTTTGAACTTTTGAACTGCTACTTGTTTCGGGTGATTTATTGATTTTGCTATCTCTCGGTTTAGCTCAACTTTAGTTTTTGCCCAGCAGTGCAGATAAGTGGCGTAGGAGATTTAATTTCATGGGTATTTAGGGTTAAAACCTATCTTTAAGAAGAATGCTAAACATGTTTTAATAAAACATGAGTTGCAGGGGGTTTGGGTTTCTAGATGACATGAATGTGATAAGAACCTAGGCAGTTGAGAGGCTGGGCCAGGAAGGAACTGTTTTTCTGATCTCGGGAAGTTTTCCTTTGGCCACGTGCATTTTATTCGCTAAATAAGCTTGGCTTCATTCTTAATTGCACGTATCATTTTTTTCCCCCTGCTTGCACCCTCTTGTTCACTCCACATGTTTTGCTTCTGTGCCTAGTCCAGGGATGGTTTCGTGGATTCTTTCAGGCAGCAGCAGAATGTGCCTCTCTCTCTCTCTCTCTCTCCTCCCTTCCTTGCACTCTGAGGACTGGCTGCTGAGGCAGGTGGCTGCTATTTAAACACCCTCCTTTTGGCAGATCTCACTGGGAAACTGCTTTCAAGAGCAGCCATCGCTCTTAAATAGGGGATGAAGACATGGAAGGCTGCTCTGTGTTGGGGCCAGAGTGTGTAGATGCTTGACTCTCTGCATATCCACTCTCCCTGTGGCCCCCATCAGATGCTCAGCCTGTCCTAACCTTTGAGGGGATACTTTGTGGGTGGGAAATACTGGACTTAGCAGAGTGACTTTTGTATCGTCCTGGGGGCTGCTGCAGAACTTTTCTTAAATATGTAATGCCCTGGGAACTCCTCCTTGTTTTATTAACTAATTCTTAAATATGATTTCATAGCGGTGTTTTGTACTTTTCTTTTTCTTTGCAGTGGGGGATAGAGGAATAGGGGTGGTGGGAAAAAGTAACCCTACTAGAGATTCTGGTAATAAATTTTCAGGCACATGAACAGTTAATCTCCTCACTCAGAGCCACAGTATGTGAATGTTGAATTTTTATTAAGGTAATGGTTTTTTTCTTTAAAAATCTGATTTATTTAGAAGGTAATTTTAAATGACCAAGTAATTTTAACCTTCAGGGAAAGACGGGGGTGGGGGTGGGTAGGGAGTAAGAGAAGAAAGCTTGGATATCTGCAAGAGTTTGAAAATTCACATCCTTTTTAATGATTAAACTGGCAAGATTTTTATTTGGATGTTAAAAGCTTTTTCTTACATTGCAAACATTCTCAGCAAATTTACAGTTAGATATTTGGAAACAGCTAACACTCAAAAAAGAAGAAAAAACAAAAAAGAGGAGGAGGGCCGGTTTGAACAAGGAAACAAAATTAGTGGGAATGGCTAAAAAGACAGAACTGACCCCAACACCATTAGCTAGGGGGAAAAAAATTCCATTTCATTGCAACTATGTTATTGTTTACTTTACTATACACATCCTAATATGGTTACCTCCCTGTCAAAAGAAGACAAGCCTAGGGGTTGGGAGGCCCCCTCGGGGAGAAAGCTCCTAACTGCTTCTCAGACAATAAGAAACAAATGGTACAACTCCACAAAAGGCTACCCGGAAAATAAGTGTCAAATAAATCCTACAGAACTCTGGCTTCTTCCTTTGAGCTCTGTATATGCAAACCTGTTTTCAAACCATAGCTGCCCAGGCTGAACTACATTTCTTTGGAAATGTAAGCGACTGCTTTTTCTCTTGTTTTCTCCTTCACTTCATCTGAGGGCTCTGGATTAATTCCTTGAGACATATCTTTGCATACATGTCTCATGAGTTATGTTTCCTGGAGTCTTTTACTAGAAACATTAAGGTAAGAATGTTGATTTAGCCTGGGACCTTTGTCACTCAAACTAATGCTCATCAGTGATACAGACATTGTAAAGAAATATTGCAGAGGTCTTTCCGTGGTCCCCCTCCCAAACGGAGAGGTGCAGTTGCTTTTAATTGTCATGCATGGATTTGTTGGGGTGGGGTGGGGGTGCCACCAGTTGTGGATGAGATGGAACGGAGATGTGTACTCACTCACTGGAATAAACACTGCTGAAAACACCTCCGGACCTTTGGCAACACAACAGTTTGATTAGAACGCTTTTCCCGTTGTTTCTTCCAGCTCGTCTTCTCTTACTTGCTTTTCTTTTTTTCTTCTTCTTCTGCTGCTTTTTTGGGTTTTATTTTTCTTCTTCAACTCTTCTGATCATTTCCAAATTCGCATGGTCTTGAGACTTGCCTGTTATTATCTGCAACTCCAGAACAAAGGTAGGGTGTTCAACTCGGTGCTTTCAGTGTGTGTGTGTTGGGGGGGGGGGGCTCTTCCGGGCGGGCCGAGTTATTTTGGGAGGGATGTCTTTCTAATGCATGAGTGGCTGACCTAAAAGGGGTGGGGGTGGGGTGGGGGAGCCCTGCCTGGAGCCCAGGGATGAGAGAGCAGGCACTGTGGCAGCTGTTACGTAGTGGAGTTTATTTTTATGCAACTAAAGAAGCGGCAGCATCTTTTATAGAATGGACTCATTAGGTCCTGAGATTCTACTCTGATGTAACTTAACTTGATGAGTACAATTCATTACCCAAGTGGGCTTCAGACATTTGCTAATGCTTGGATTTATGACAGCAGATACACTTTTCTGGTCAGACCCAACATTCAGTTTATCAAAATTAAATAAAGGGTGCAGACTGGTAATTTTAATTTTTATTTCTGTGTTTTTCTGTCAAATGTTACTATTCAGGTGTTAGTATTTGGGTGACTGGCATATGTACTCTTCCCGCCCCCCCCCCCCACCTTTGGTCTAATTGCTTTAATTCCCAGGACGCCTTCACTTAATTTCTCAATTATTTGGTTCTCTCATTTTGTACAATCTGTTGGTGCTCTGTTGGAGTCGAGGTAGAGGTTTGCTGTTGTCAACTAATTGTGCCTTGCTGGACTGCAATGCAATAGAAAGAGTAAAGACCAAAAGAAATGTATCTCCACCTGAATGGGGAATTGGAATAAAATGGTGCAGATTCATAATTGAAAGCCTGAATAAATTAAGCCTTAGTGAGGGATATTACAGGCTATTAATCATAATAAATATGTTTGGCAATGTTGTGTTTGCGCCCTATAGTTTTTCAGTTAAGAAAAAAAACCTCAAAGTCGGTGATTAGAAGAGGGAATAGTTGTTTGGCTGGTAAGAGAATGGGTTGTACTTGTTCATTAGTTCAAACCACATTAAAAGTGAGCAGTTTGTTCCAGGATCAAGTAAGTCTTTCCCAAGCATATTGGAATACATCCCTGTCCAAATGCAATCTCTGGTTCATGCCACAGTGCTTGGCATTATCTGAACATCTCAGCTTGCGTATGGAACTTGAGTGCTAAGAATTTTATTTTACATTATTACCACGCTCACACATTCCTGTTGGTTTCTTGGCTGCGGATCATCTCTGTGCATGCACTGTAGCACGGTCAAGGTGAAGCTCTCTGGAAAACAGAAATTCACTGCATTTAACCAAAATGGGCTCGAACAACCCCAAAGTTTGTATCTGAGAAAGCTGCTAATTATGCTTGTCGTGAAACATATCTGAGTGGAAGGTTCTGAATCCAAACAGAATAGAGTGTTGCTCTAGAAATATAGCTGTAGTCTGTGCTTTCAAAGAGGTTTATTTTTACTTTGGGGCCATGGAAGGGATGGTTGGAATTAGTAGCCTTTAATTAGATGGGGAGATATTCAAATTTTACAGGGATTTATGTTAGAACATGGAATGGCGGGTGGCTCTTTCCTCATTATGAATCCTCCCCGCACGTAATGAGGTTCATCATTAGTTGATGGAGTGAATTTGCCCTAGCTCTACCTTGAAAGGCACATAATTTACATACTACTTCAGAGCCTAAGCTTTAATGGATTCCTAGATGAATAAAATGAAAAGCTACTTTCTTTAAATTTTTGAACACTGTTTAGATAATACGATTTTAATAAGACATTCAATTTGCTTGTTAAGTATATTTGAAAGTGCTTTTTTTTTTTTTTTTCTTTCTTTTCCTTTTTGGACAAAAATATATTTTGGCTTGCCTTGCTGTATGTCATAGTGGATGGCTATCCTCAAAGATGTTTCAGAAAGGACATGGGAAGGTAGTTCAGTGTGAAGAAATAGAATCGTATAGAGCTGTTTTGCACACGAGCCTTGAGATTATTGACAAACCTTTTGCAGTAGAAACTCCTCTGATATTAAAATAATTATAACCATTAAAAAGAAGAAAAGGTCTGAAGGCAATGTTGATTATTAGCGTATAGAGTTCTGTATATAAAATGTGTGTGTGTGCCGACCACAACCCACACTGACAAAGTAGCTAGTTTGTACCTCCTGATTTATTTTCATGATTGAAGAGCAAAAACTTCCCCGGTACAGCTCCCTGTTTGAAAATGCTGTGTTGCTAGGAATCGAGGTGAAAAAATTGAGTTGGAGGCTGTCTCGTATCTTATCAAGCCTCACCTTAGGAACATTCCGGTGTGCCCCATAAATCCTGCAAGTTCTCTGACTCTCTGTCACTCTTCTCTCTTTTGGTTGGAATGGAGAGAAAAATCAACGGTGACTCGGTGTGATTTGAACATGGATGTCTTTTTAATAAGCGGTGGCGGGGGAAGATGTTAGAAATAGCATGTTATTGAACATGTCCTTTGCTTGTTAGAGACAGGTCACCCTGGCATTGTTACCATCGCAGCAAGTGAAAACAGGTTTCTGGTGGTTTGTCACTTTCAGGAGCTGGGAAGGTGTCTAAATATAAACTAAACCTTGTTTTGATAGAATGCTTTATTACCTGAAAATGATCAGCATATATTAACATTAATAGAATAGTCCGTGTCATTCTTTTTAAGATAATTTACTTCTGCGGCAGACCTGTCTGCCTTTAAAAAAAAAAAAGAAAGAAAGAAAGAAAAAAAATCTCCCTCTAAAACATATATTTGTTTAGAGAGTTTTCACTGAAGTGTACATGACAATTACAGCTGTTCATTAACAAAATTGGGTATTTGTTTTAAACTTTAACCAATCACTTTGATATGCTAATTATGGTGTAATTTAATTTGAGCCCTGTAATGATGATGCCGTTATTATGGACATAAATGATGCAGTTAAGCTGAGAGTAATCTCATTTGCATACTGTACATGCCAGTAAATTAAGCCCTTTCTTCAACTTTAATTTTCCACTTCTTTTCACACAGCTCCTTTTCAGTCCCTCTCTTATAAGCCCACTTTGTAATATAGGTCTGATGACTGTTTGATGTGAAGAGTTTCGGCACCACAATAATGCCCGACAGAAGATGTAACATTTAAAGGATTCATTATCTTGCTGAGTGTCCCTTTAAGAAGGGAGGATTAGAGAGGGTGGAGGGGAGACCCAAGTGTCCTTTCCATGGGCTATGACAGGCCCCTGTTAAAGTAATTTGAGATGCCAAATGCTTACCACGAATGGCCAAGTCAGATGTGGGATCTATTATTTACACATGCTTTTATTCCCACTGTACTGTGTGGTCACAAATTGTGTAGCAATTAACAGCAGTGAATTTCACGGGATCCCTTATTTGTCGTCTTCCCATTCTTTTTGGAGCTAAAAGTTCAATTTAGTCTACTTATTAAAATTCTTCAAATCTGGGCTTCTATAAATGTGGCTATCATCTGAAACAATTCTGAGATGTCACTGAAAGCGGCTTTCGAAAGGAGCTTCCTTTTTTTTCACCCTCCTCTCTGCCTGGATTGTTGAAAAAGCATGCGAGTCATCCAGCTGTGTGAGGCTACAGTGCATACAGATGTTTCTCAGAACAGCAGGCTGTGGCCGGTGCCCTCCTTGAGTTGTAAGAGCACCCATGTAGCTTTTGATAGCTGCTGGCCAGTGAAGAGCTGTTCCATGTAAGCCACAGAATGCAAAGGGCATAGCTGAGCTATTCAGCAGCAGGGATGGAGTCTCCCTGTGGCGGGCGGGCAGGCGGGAGCTGGGAGTTGAGTGGGTGTGAGGACTGAAGTGGATTGTTTCTAAAAGGGTCAGAGACCTAAAAATAGTTCATGCTGTTTGACTCTTATAGTCACCTTCCCCCAGCAAGTGGAAGAGCGTTAAAAACATGGAATCCAATGTGTCTATCCTCCTGGCTTGGAACTCAGAAAAGTTTTGGCCTTCCTTTCTAAGCAGCCCCCAGTTCTCTACCTCTTGATCCAAAGTGGGTGCCAAAGGATTGTTGTCCCTGCCCCCGGCAGTGTGCCGACAGGAGCCTGCCATTTTCTAGTATTGTGACAGGCAAAATGGGCTGAAACTGCCAAGACCAAGTGCACGCGGGGCATATTCAACAGGGACAAGTGGAATTTGGAGTTTCTGCCTAACTTTGAAAATCTTAATGAAGGTGAATTTCACCCAGGTGTTCTTGAATTCAGCTATGGTTGTGCTATCCTGTTGCTGACAGACTGTTGTGGTGTTTGTTTTAAAGCAGTTCAAACTTCGAATATAACTCTTCAAGAGATTTCTTCCTGTACATAATTTCACAAGCAACCAGATGCCAAAGGTGTGTACGGAAGGTGTAGGGACTATTTGTATGGTGGTAATTCTGGCTCTGATGGTTAAGGTTTTGTGTTAACTTGGCTGGGCGGTGATTCGTAGGATTTAGCAGTTAATGACATGACTTGGGAAATTATGTAACGATGTAATCATCCTCCATTTTGTGATCTGATGTGGTTACCAACCATTTTCATATAATACTGAATTTTGTTTTCGTTAAGTGACGTGTGGGAGTACTTTTTGTATTTTTCTTGTGGATTTGTTTGTTTTCAGAATTGAGGAAGACAAGGGAAAGGTGA